ATCCATGTATGATGTATATCTCTCTTAGGGTTCTCCTTGTTTCCTGTCTTTTCTGGGGTTGTGGATTATAGCCTGATTATCCTTTGCTTTTTGTCTAGTATTCTCTTATGAGTAAGTACACACCATGTTCGTCTTTCTGTGACTGAGTTACCTCACTCAGGATATTTTTTTTTAGTTCCATCTATTTGCCTGCAAATTTCAAGATGTCATTATTATAAAAAAAAATAAGTACACTGTGTAGTACTTCATTATATAAATGTACCACATTTTCCTTATCCATTCTTCAGTTGAGGGGCATCTAGGTTGTTCAGGTTCTGGCTATTATGAATACTGATGCTATAAACACAGTTGAGCAAATGTCCTTGTAGTATGAATGTGAAACCTTTGGGCATATGCCCAATAGTAGTATTGCTGGATCTTAAGGCAGATTGATTACCAGTTTTCTGAGAAACTACCATACTGATTTCCCTTAACTGCCTTTCCCCTGTAACCAGATTGATGACTAACTTAATTGTCATCATAGAACCTTCATCCAGTAACTGATGGAAGCAGATGCAGAGATCCACAGTTAAGCAATGGACTGAACTCCTGGAGTCCAGTCATAGCGAAGGATGAGTGATATTATAAGCAAAGGGGTCAAGATCATGATGGAATACCCACAGAATCAGCTGACCCAAGCATGTAGGAGGTGATTGCAGACTTGGTGTGAGATAATGGTCTGTATTCTTTCAATTATATTTTAAATAAACATTGATTGGCCAGTAGCCAGACAGGAAGTATAGGTGGAACAACCAGATAGGAAGTAGAGGTGGGTGAATGAGAACAGGTAATTCTGGGAAGAAGGAAGTCCTAGTCTGCAGTCATGGCCCAGCCACAGAAGAGGCAAGATGTGACTGCCTCGCAGAATAAGGTACCAAGCCACGTGGCTAACTCAAACAAGAATAATGGGCTAATATAAGTTATAAGAGTTAATAAAAGCCTGAGCTAATGGGCCAATCAGTTTATAACTGATGTAGACCTCTGTGTGATTTCTTTGCTACATAATGACTGTGGGAACTGGGTATGATAAAAACTCAGACAACACAGACTGACACCTGAGGAAGCCTGCAAAAGACTGAACTAGACCTTCTGAATGTGGGTGACAGTTGTGTGGCGTGAACAGTTTGTGGCACCACTAGCAGTGGAGCCAGTATTTATCTTTAATGTATGAACTGGTCCTTTGGAGCCCATTTTTGAATGGAGGGATACTTTGCTTATTCTCAATATGGTGTGTGTGTGTGTGTGGGGGGGAGCCTTGGTCTAGCCTAAAGTGATATGATAGACTTTGTTGACTCCTCAATGGAGGCCTCATACTCCCTGAGGAGTGGATGAGCAGTGGGGTGGGAAAAAGGTGGAGGGAGCTAGAGGATGGGAGGGAGAGGGAACTGGGATTGGTGTGTAAAATAAGATTGTTTTAAAAATTAAAAAAAGAAAGAAAATAAATAAATAAAAGCAACTGCAAAGAAAAGCAAAGGGCAGTGGCACTGGTATCATGAGAGGTAGATGTGTGGATTCTGGGCTTGGATTAAAGGTAGAGCCAACAGGATTGCCAGCGGGACAGAAAGCAAAACTTTAGATTACTGCCTGTGCTTGAACTGAGAAAGTCAAAGGAAGGTTAAAGATGCCATCTGTTTTCATCAGGATGAGTTACTCACTGTGTGGGGAGGTGGTTTATTTATTTATTCTTCCATTTATTGAGAACTAAATTGAGGAGATATTCAGTGAGATGCTTTACTATTCATTGATATAGAGAAGCTAAGTCACACGGGTGGGTATATAAGTAAGCTCTTCAGTGTGTATGGTCTTCTGTAAACATATTGCCTCGGATGCTTGAGCAAAGTCAGTGAACAAAAGCAGTGGACTCCTGCCCTCATGACTTTAACAGTTTAATGGAACATTTAAACTTGTGGCTTAGGACTTTCTAAAAATAGAAACTAACTGAAAAATTGAGTCATTTTGTGAAGATCATAAAGCGATTAAATGAAGTAAGTGGAAGCCTTTTAAAAAGGAATCAAGAAAAGGTGGAAGCAATCCTGAGTTATGGACGACCTAAAGAAAGCTTTCATGGTATTTTGGTCTGTAAACCTTAAATGAAAGCCAGGCACAGGAGATTTCGATTACTTTCTATAATTTAAGGTGAAATGAAACTCTTTTATATGTGGAAATCGTTTTTCTGAGAGGGCAGGTTAACCTTTGATGCATTGCATCATAGAAATGACAAATAAATTAGACATGAAATGCATATAGCAATATGAGAAAATAGGATCAAACTTGATTTCACTAGAAACTAAGACAGTGTTTTGATTAAGTCATGCATTTTTGAATTTCATGTTACCTTGTCATCACATGTCTGATACTTTTATAAGCATATGTTTAATGAACCTTCATGTCTAGAATTCTCCTGTTCCTAAGACCTTTAGTTAGTCAAGGATCAAAGTACCACATTTTTCTTATTTCCCAGGGCCATTGAAAATAATAGCTCTATGAAATAGGCACTGTGAAATCTGTTTTTCCTTTCCACTATGAAACTCATCTTATTATGGGAAATTGCTCTGGGTTCAATTATGCCATAAAGGGTGTTTTAGGATTAAATAAATAGACAGCCTTTCTGTCCCTCAGATTTCTTTTGCAAAGTGCTGTGTTCTCTGAATGTAACCAGCTAGAATGACTCAACATGAAGCGTTAAATTGCTATATAATCATCAGGTATTTTTGTCTCCTTACAGTTGCTATAAAATAGCAAATATTTTAGTTTAAATCTCCAAAGTTTGCAAAATACAAAGTTTTCTAAATGAAGCAAGTTTTAAGTATTTGAGCGGTTACTTTTTAGTGCGTAGTATCTGTGTATGGATCGCATATATTATTTGTAAAACATACATGGGTGTAAAAGAGAGAAATCATTAATTTTCACTCCTACCCCACCAGCTATCCCAGACTCCTATTACTGATATATTAGCCCTAATTAGTTGATAAAGCACTCACATACAATGAATATAAATTAACACCTCAAACTGGAATAACATGTGTTAATGCATAAACATTTGAAGCCCACAAAATTAAGTGGGAGAGAATAAGAGGGTGAGAGATGACACAAAAATTTACATTTGTAAAAATTTAATGACTGCCAAATTGAAAAGAGGGAAATTGAAAGAGTAAAATTTCTTCACATTATTTGAGCAATTAGTTTATTGTATTTAAAAATTAATAAATCAAAAAAGGCCTTTGACAATGACTAGTGCTTTATGATTTCCCACTTGGAAAGAATCTATTTGCTGCTGCCTATTGATATCTTGGAGGGTAGTCCACAACACTATTTACACATAAACTGTAATTATTAATGCTTCAGATGAGATCATATCATACTGTTTAAAACTCACTCTAATATAGATATCTTGTGTGTGCTTGCTCTTGTAAATGTATATAAGACAGTAAGTTGTTCTCGAGTGCTTGGCTTTCTGCCTGACCATCAAGCAGCTTTCTTGAGTAGCTGTAATATTGCACTCTAGCATTAAATAATTGATCCATAGACACATGTCATAGAAGTCTAATAATGTTTGCAAAAGCTATCAATAGGAAAGTCTACTTCATAAGTTGTTATAGCCTACACAGTGCTATGTCACTGAGCATCATGGTCTAGGTAGCTGATAGACTGTGAACTTTCTGGATTTGTGTCTGTGAGGACATTCCTTGGATGTTAAATGAATATGTTTATGCTGTGTTCTTATGTGGTGGAAAGGTTGAAGGTAGCTTTCTAGAACTTTCTTCTTAAGGGCTTTGATTTTACTACTAAGGAATCTGTACCCACGACCAATTTATTTTTCAAAGCCACATTTTAAATAAGATCTCACCAGAGGTTATATTTTGGTGGATTTTGGGGAGACATTGTGATTGAGCCTCTTCCTCCAGTTAACTATTGACTACAGGTGATTCACCTTTATTTAACTTTTGTAATATTACGTTTATTTATTTGTGTGTGCCAATCTGTGTAGGTATGCATGTCATGGCACATGGGTGGAGATCAGAGAATGACGTCCCAGAGTGGACCCTCTTTCTCTCTATTACATGGACCTTGGGAATCAACCACACATATTCAGGACTGGAGGAAATATTTTTCCTTTCAGCAATCCTGTCCAGACACTTCAATTAGCATTTTCTTCTACTTTAGTTTGTGTGTGTACGTGCATAAGGAGGTCTTGGTTGATGTTGAGAACTGTCCTCAATGACTCTTCTTCCTTTTTATTGAGGAATGGTTTCTCAATCAAACCACAAAGTGGCCCATTGGATATTCTGTGTCTCTCCCCATTTTGCTCTGGTATGTTCCTGGTGTTTGCTATCAGAGACTAGGTTTGCAATGATTTTCCGGCTCCTGACATTTCCATGGGTCTAAGAATCTGGCCTGTGGTCCTTACATCTGCAGTGGCGTGCAAATCAGCCCTGAGTCATTTTACCATCCCTTTCACTGACTTATAAAAATCATTTTCTATGTTTCAGAATTATTCCTTTGCTAAGAAGTTTAATTTATATTTTTAATAGCCAATGTCTTTCACAGAAGGATTTTTTTTTTCTTTCTCTAAAGGATAAAAGCAATTTTAAAATAAAGTCATATTGGAGTATTGGCAGATAGTTACACTGATAATGCAGTGATTATAGATGCAGATATTGTAGGGTAAATATTCTTTTCAACAACATTCTGCATCATTATTATCATAATTGTTTCTGATATAACTACCCAATGCTGTCAAACTGGAAAATTTACTTTGCAATATAAAGGTAATTGCCAAGCATTCAGTTACTGAGAGAGTTTGATCATACACGAGCTTAAAACTCATTAATAAAAGGCTGTCCTGATTCAGAATATGGCAGGCTCTACAGGTGGCCACTGATGCTTTCTGGGAATTCCATCCTGTTGAGTCCAGTGGTCTGCTCTTCACAAGTCCTTGTCCTGCTGTCCACTTTTCATAGATGCTGCTCCTATGTTGGTCGGCGGGGAAATGGCCCTCAGGCTATCTCTATTGGGAAGAACTGTGACAAGTTTGGAATCGTTGTTCATGAACTGGGCCATGTGATAGGCTTTTGGCACGAACACACCCGCCCAGACAGAGACAATCATGTCACCATCATAAGAGAGAATATCCAGCCAGGTGAGAACTTTGGGGACCTGCAAACCTACATTTATAAACCATGCAGACCTTTCTTAATGTACTACAATCAACATTTTATGTATTAAAACTTGTTATTCTCAAGCTTTTCCCCCTATGATATAGGCATTTTGTTTTAAATATGGGTGGTTTCATGAACAGACATGAGCTCTCGAGCAATAAGCTGATAAGATAATCATTTCAATAAACCTATTTTAATACTTAGTTCTTTAATTTATGCTGTTTAGACTGTAATGGGGTTCAGGGTTTGCATCATGTGTTATAGCTACTGGAATCAGTGCTGTGTCAGGTGTTATTTCTAGAGAAAATTCCAGTGAAATGAGTCATTCCCAAAATAATCTTAATAGTTTATTGGAGATTTTTTTCTTAGACTTGATTATTCTAAGGACAAAATTTTAAAGAGTGTTTTCACTAGTTAAAATGGTTAAAAAAATCTAATTTTCTCTTAGAGTCTTGTGAGTGACAATACACTTATTATCAAATTTTATGTTTCTTTTAAGTCTCATTCAGAAACACCAGTACATTTAATTTGAAAAAATTTTCAATTCTTGTTTGGCATTTTGGTGTAGTGTGTCTTTTAAGTATATGCAGAGTCAAAGGGGGTTTTATTTTCCTATTCACTGACAATTAAAGGACTATGCTAAATTTCATAGGATATTCTGAAATAAATATCATTTATGTCTTTGTTCATTCGTCATCTACTCCATTCTGCTTTCTGCAGCACTAGCTGTGGAGATACTGCTATGGAAAATGCCAGAAATCTGTGTAAAGATGAAAATAGCCATTCATTGCAAATACTGCAGAGTCTAAAATAAACATAACAAACACTACTTTTGGCAACTAAAGACAGTTGTGTCCAAAATTAGAGATAAGAAATATTAAAAAGAAAAGAAATAAACATGAATTAAGAGGGTGATGAAATATTTAGGCTTAGAAACTCATAACAACTTTTAGTCCTGTCCTCCTGCTCTATGGCAAATTATAAGTGGGGGACTGGTTATTAACTATTAATTTCCCAGGGAGATTAGATTATTGAGAATCAGAATCATCTGTATAGGTCTCAGAAATTTATGCCTTACCCTCTCCTGGGAAATAATTGGAAGATTGTGCCTTAGTTACTTTTCTATTGCTGTGATAAGACATCCTGACCAAGGCAGCTAAAAGAAGCAGGAGTTTATTTGGGGTTTATGGTCTCAGAAGATTTGATTTGCAGTGCATGCTCAACATGGCAGAAAGCATTGCAGCAGGCAGGCAGGCATGACTTTGGAGCAGTAACTGAGAGCTTACAGCTTTATCTGCAAGTCAGAGGAAGAAAGATCCAAGTGGGAATGATGAAGACTTTTGAAACCTTAAAACCCGCCCCAAATGACACACCTCTTCCAACAGTTCTATCCACTGAGGGCCCAGTGTTCAAGGATGTGAGCCTATGGAGACTATTCTCATTATAACCGTCACGGATTGTAAACAAAGATCAGATCTGAAAAGTTCTGCCTGCTGTGGGACTTTTAACTTGGGGTGGGGAGGATGAAGCTGGAACCAGCAGAATCCTGAATAAATAGTTTCTGTGGATGAGGAGCTTCTCACCATTTGAACACGAAAGGACAAGAAGAAGACATGCACATAACCTCCAAAATTCTTTAAGGGAAACATGAGTGGAAGTCTTCAAAAGTTTTATTCCAGGCCAGAGTACAAACATTGGTACTATCAAATGGATCAGGAAACACGGAATAAACACAATGTTTTTGTGAAAGAAATAATGACAAACACCAATTCAATTTTCCTAATTTTTTATTGAAAAAGCCTGTGATGATCTTCTTTAGAAACAAAGGAGTGACAGGACTGGATGTGGAGGACTATCCAAAGATAAACCTTTAGTAGTACATTTGACTATTTCAGGGCAACCCGATAGAACAGCAAGAAAAGGTTGCATTGGACAGCAACAAAACCTAAGCAATAATTAGAAAATATCTTCTGAAGATTACAGTCACATCTATGAAATAAGAAAAAAGTTAACGGAGTATGGTATCCAGAACCAGGCGAATAAATCCTTTTTCTAGAATGATGCAATCAGAAGATGAAAATAAAAGAAAATGTATATGGCCATGTGAAATATCTAGGCACTTGAAACATTTTCCAGTGTTCATTTTACATCATTAAGAGTGAGATAAAAAGAGGTGATATTTCTGAAACTTCTTTTAAGCACCAAGTAGATGAGAGGATTGCTGTTAGGGAATTTTTGTATTGCTCGCTGTCTGCCAATCATTTTCATCATGTGGACCAAGGAAACAAAACAAACTTATGAGTAAGGCAATATTTGAAAGCAGTTGCTGATTGAGGAGCAGAAGGAGGGAGAACATGAGCAATTAAGTCAGGACCACAAGGGGTGCACCCACCCACTGTGACAGTGGAACTGATCTATTGGGAGCTCATCAAGGCCAGCGGGACTGGGACTGAATAAACATGGGATGAAACCGGACTTTCTGAACATGGCGGACAATGAAGGCTGATGAGAAGCCAAGGACAATGGCACTAGGTTTCGATCCTAATACATGAACTGGCTTTGGGGGAGCCTAGCCTGTTTGGATGCTCACCTTCCTAGTCCTGGATAGAAGTGGGAGGACCTTGGACTTCCTGCTGGGCAGGGAATCTGGACTGCTCTTCTTTCTCAAGAGGGAGGGGGAATGGAGTGGGGGGAGGGGGAGAGGGGTAGGGGAGTCGGGGGAGGGGACGATGTGTGCGAGGATGGGGAGGGAAATATTTTTTTTTGCAACAACTAAAAAATATAAAATAAACAAAAAAATCTTTAGATATGGCAAAACAAGGAAGAAATGTGAACATAATAAAAATAGATATATAAGTAAATATATTCAATGCTGGAAAATTATACCTCTGAATACTGTTTTTGATTAAACATTCAGGCTAACAGGAAAAAGAACAGTTACTGGATGAAGTTTCCTGATTGACTGGAACTACCACAACGGGAAGATCCCAGGCTGAAAATAACCACATGGCAGGCTAATTGTTTATGCATTTATGACTTGCTGTGAGTCAGAAGCCTGAGATTAGGTGGTTTTTCAAGAGTAATGACTAAAAACGCACACACTTTGACTTTAAGTTTACATGTAACATAGGTGACTATGATAAAAATGGAATTTGTGTGAAGACCTGATTATTTGAATTTGTGTTAGATTGTGGTTGTAAATAATTATTACAAATTATATTTATTTGTGTAACACTCACACCAGTCATATAATTTTAAAGAAAAGAATATTATGAGATGGATACATAGTATGTGGAAGAACAGCATGCTCTACTTTTATCTTCTTTTGTAGAAATTAGGTCATTGTTCCACTCCACTATGATGTTCCAAGTAGACATTGTGGGGACATATGGTTTTGCTTTTGTTGCGTATGAATGGATATGTGTATAAAAACAAACAATAACACCAGTCACTTAGTAAAACCCAAAAGTAGGCCCCAGATTTCTGTTCTCTTTTCTTTCGTTTAGAAGTCTTCTGTTTTTCCTGGACTCTTAGGGCAAGAGTACAACTTTCTGAAGATGGAGCCTGGAGAAGTGAACTCTCTCGGGGAAAGATATGACTTCGACAGCATTATGCACTACGCCAGGAACACCTTCTCAAGGTTGGACTCTCAGGTTATACCTTTTGACTTTTAATTCCTTTTCTCATGTGACTGCGCACAAAGCTATGTTTATCTTTAGAACTAGAACTGCTTTTAAATATCACTGCCCTGGGGCAAAAGAAATGGAGCAGATGTTCATGCAAAAGATGTTTAAAACACTCTTTCCAGTTCTTATTAAAAGCACACACTGAAAGCGATATTGAGAGGGGTACAGATGAGTTAAGTGATATTATATCCTTGCGTTATTAAATATTCAGTGAAAACAATTATCTAACCGCCCAGCATCTTAAACTGGTAAAGTATTATTTAATTAAGATTGAGAATTCACAAATCAAATATGTGATCCCCGTGTTGCACGGAGATGCCATACCATATGTTTTAGGTCGTGTGCACACGCTTTTTGAACCACTTATGCTGCAGATTTGATTTAAGTCGATGAAAACTCAAAGATTATGCTCGGAAGATAACTTGCTTTCATGTAGTTTACAATTGATAGTAACACTCCAATTACGCATTTAAAATTGTATTAATTATAACTGTCTTATTTGAATTGTAATGCATTTGGGTTTTGATCTACTTCACCCTAAAGATGATTCTACCAAACAAATAGCTCTCAGGTAAGGAAGTCGGAATTCAAACACCAAGTCCCCCATCTCTCTCCTTTCCAATCACGGATGCTCATTTTGGAACTGCATGCCCATTTACTCACTCTCTGTTATTGTTGTTCACCTCCGTCCACTTCACAGTTCATTTCTATCATTTTTTAAAAAAAGAGGGTTACAAAGAAAAGACAAAGTCAAATTTATTCCTAGGTTCATTTTTTAATTGAATATCTAAATGAAAGTGTGCCAATGAGCCCTTAAAATGTGAGTGCATAGTAAAACTTCCTTTATTAAAAGATTAGACCTTCAGAAGTGTTGTTGTTATCAGCCTTTGAAGAGGGTTCTCTTCTCAAGTTCATACAATAGACACATTTATTCATGATACATCTCTTCAAACAGAGCAGTGTTCAAGTATTTATTGTTCCTGGAATGGGAATTTAAGTTTCGGTAAAAAAAAAAAAAATACACCCAGAAATCTGGGCTGAAATTAGAGTTATAAAATTTTATTATTAGGTTAAAAGTTGGAATAGAATTAAGTTTTCCACAGAAATATGTAAGAAATTGCTGTGTGCGTCTCAGTTCAGACAAGACTTCTCTACCGTGGCTCTCAAATGAATCATTCAGAATTAACCTGAGGTTTAGTTCTTTGGAATATGGGAGGGGCTGGAGAGTAGCCAAAACAACATGAAAAATTCTTTTTGTGTCTTCGTGGATGGTGTATCTTAAGTTTGAATTGTCTGACTTCCCTTAGTTTGTCCTTTGTGTGTTATTTGTAACTGCCACCATGGAACAGCATGCTGTGGGTACCTGTAGCCTGTTTTCCCACATTGTCTTACTTTGTCAAACTTGAATATCCTTACTGTTCTAAAACTATCCCATTCCTCTCTCTGCTGCTGTGACTGTAGGCACACTTGCACAAGGTCAACCAACCCAAATCCCAGCATGGACTAGGGAAGTCCCACCACTCCTGAGGAATAGTTGCCAATTGATGGCTACTAGGGAGGCATGATCCTTTTTTTTTTCTTCTTCCCACAAGTGTCGCATCTGATAAGCTGTTCTTGGTAGAGGAGATGGCTCCAAATACAACTTCTGACAGTGCTAACCAGACAACTGAGAACATGAAATTGAGAACAGATAGTAGGGAGTAGGTTTGGTAGAAATTGGAGGAGAATGAATGGTTGTGAATTTGCCCAAAACATATTGTATACATGCATAAAATTCTCAAGCAACAAAATTCATCTTATCAATTTTCATTAAAAATCTACATTTTAAAAGGTCGTATTTATCCATTTGAAAGATAGTTATCCGATTGATCTAGTTCATAATAACTTAGTCTGAATCTGTAAAGAGATTGCTTCATAACATATTTAAACAAATAATTTCAGGAAATGACAATTTTGGCACCTCAAAAATATTTGAAGCTGCTGTTTTTAATTATGTCAAAACCATATAATAAAAATTTATCATTTCAACCATGTTAAGCTGTTTGCTTTAGTAGTGTTAAATATATTCACTGTTATTAAATACATCCCCAGATTGTTTTATGTCTCAAAATAGAAATGGTGGTGCATGTTAGACAACCCTGCTGCCCCTTTTTGTTTACCCTCCCAGCACCTTGAGTATAGTTTTATTTCTCAATTCTGTGAATTCAACTATTTTGGACACTCTCTTTAATTGAAATCACATGTGCTTGTCCGTTTGTGACCACCATGTTACATTTAGGATTATTTCCTTCAGTTTTACTGCAGCATGGTTCATTTCCATGACACTGATGAATAATATTGTTGTGTGTGTGTGTTGTATGCGCCTGTGTGTGTGCATGTGTGTCTGTGTGTTTCTCTTCATGTGTTTGTCTGTTTGTGCATGTGAATATGTGTTTGTGTGTTTGAGTGCATGTGTGTGTGTGTGTGTTTTTATGTATGTGAATGAACACAAACATACACATCAGTGGACACTTGGATACTAGGTCCCTGGAGTTGCTTTCACTTTCTGGTGGCCTACATAGCACTGTGCTGAGCAGGGTTCACAGATATATCTGAGAGGGGTTGCTTCCCATTGCTTCCTCTGCCATCCCAGGAAGCTGTAATGTAAAGTCACATTTTAGTTTGACTTTTAGGTTTTGATTTCCACCATTTTGTAATCCCACTAAGTAGGCAAATCTGTCCACCCTTAGGGGCCTCCCAAGAGCCTTTTGGTTTGTGTTGTCTTGCTAGCAAGAGTCAAGCCAAGGGTGGGAGGACACTCTGCTGTGATTTTGATTTACATCCCTCTCACAGTAGAATGGCTTCACAAAGGCAGAACTTCAGTTTGTTTAATTTACTGTTGTCAATTCAGGCCTAGAACTGTGCTTAATAAATGTTTTCTAACGGAAGGAATAAATGGAGCCAAAAATGCTGTTCTGTGACCTGCAATTCAAGAACAATATGTTCAGTTTCATACTTTGGAATAGAATATCTCGTTGCTTATCCCAACTTAAAATATTTTTATATTATCATTAATTAACTTAATAGATTTTATGCCAAGTGAAAAATCTTCTATTCTGATTTTTTTTCTTAAAAATTCATGTCTACATTCAAGACTTCTAGCCATTTTGAAGGCTTTTCCAGTCCATTCACCATTTCTTCTGGGTTAAAAATGTTTGATTTACGTCACAAAGTTAGAATATATTTTTAGTGCATATTTGGAAAATAGCTAGTTCTCACCACAACTTTGAGTCCAAAAGGTTTCTATCTTTACCTAATATTTAATAAGCCATCAGTAATACTTTTTATTTATTGATTTTATCTTGATAAATAATCTGTGCATTTGATTTACATGTTATCTATAATTGATTACTCTGTTCTTATTCTTTCAACACAAGCTGCAGTAATATTTAGAACGCAGAAAGAGTTAGCTTTGGCTAGTTTAACTAAAATTTTACTTTAAGCTTTTGCTCTTGAGTTTTTTAGTAACCTCATTTTTTTTTTTTTTTTTTGCAATCTGGTGATCTAAAAGGTTCTTGGATCAATATGGGGAAATAAAACAAAAGTCACAATGTCCTTTGTGCAATATTGGCAAATAAACCTTATTTCTAAAAACATATAACACATATCTAAAAAAAAATGTACTTCTGACTTTCTGGAAGTTAAGCCATTTTTACACACTTTCCCTGCTCTGATTAGAGTATTTGGAAAACCTCATATTCTGCCTTATGTTCAACCTACTATAACTACTGATGAGATTTAGAAGTAATGAAAACTATGTTTGTTATGGCTACATTACTTCTAATTTGGTGACTTAGGTATGGTTTGCTTCTGCTTTTCCAGGGGGATGTTTCTGGACACAATACTCCCTTCTCGTGATGACAATGGCATTCGTCCTGCAATTGGTCAACGGACCCGGTTAAGCAAAGGAGACATTGCACAAGCAAGAAAGCTGTATCGGTGTCCAGGTACTGAACAACAAACACAGGAGATTTGTATTCATCCTCGAGCTTCACCAGAGAATCAGGCCTTGATTTCTTCAACTGTTCTCTTGTCCATTTCTATTTTCACAAATGGCATGCACATTTCCAATTCAGCAACCTAAATGAGGATAATGAGAATTTTAGAATGCTGTGGTGGAGACAAGTTGCCAGACGTCAAAAAGCACCAAAAAAGAATTGCTTGTCATTACTAAATAGTCAGGCAATTTTGTAGTCAAATGCTGTGTCTGTGCCAATATTAAGAAGAATAGGCTTTCTTACACAATCAAGTTCTGGGAAATGAAAAGGGGCTTGATATGTAAAAGCACTTGCAGTACAAGCACGAAGACCTGAGTTTGAATCCCCAGCACCCACTTACATATCTCAGCAAGCTGTGTGTGTCTGTAGCCCCAGCATTGAGGAACAAGAGACAGGTGGTTTCAAGCTTGCAGAACAACCAGCTCGTCCAGTCAGGAGTTTCTGATACATCGAAAGACCTTTGACTCAAGGCGTCTTCCTTTTGGCCTCTTTATGTTTACATGGGTAGAACTCACACACACATAGGGATGCATCAATAGGTACTCCCCACATTGTTGGATTCTGAATGATCTGTATTTGAAAGACCATAATCAGCAAAATACAAGTTAAAATTTTTATTAGTAAGGATTTATAAATATATTCTGTAAAAGTTAATGTCAACCTTGTTAATAGGGATCTGTCAAATAACATTAAATAGGATGATGAATGAAAGTTCTTAATTTAGAATGTCCTAATGGACAGGGCATGGTGGTGTGCACCTTTCATCCCAGCACTCAGGAGGAGTTCCAGGCCATCATGGTCTACAAAGTGAGTTCTGGGACAGACAGGGCAGTTACACAAAGAAATCCTGTCTCAAAAATCCAACCCCCACCAAGAAAAAGTCCTAAAGGAAGAATACATATTAGTGTCTTAATGAAACAAGAAAAGAATCCCTGTAATCCAAATGGAAAGTGTTTGGATTGCATATACCTCTAGTATAGCTCAGCTTAGTCTCTGACATTATCAACTAGAAAGCTTTTATAAGATTGTTTGCTAAAGCTTCTCTTACCCCAGTAGGAATTTTTTAAATATACTTCTGAAATTTGGACTGATAATTAAACTCATAAATGGTCACAGAGGTAGTAATAATTTTTTTTCAGAAAATTGAGAATATAATAGACACATTAATCAAAATTTTAGGACAATACTTAAAAAACTATTCATATACTAAATATTTGTGGGTTCTTACATTAAATCAGCCTTGAAATATGGAGTTGATCACGGATACTTTCTTTCTAGGAAATAAGAGAATGCAAGTTGGTTTATTTTCAAAAATTAAAATGTGTTCATGGACATATGGCATAGACTCTTTGAATAGATTAAAACTAGAGAAATACACCAAGAAAAAAAGTGAATCGTTTGAATAATCACAAGGAATGACTAGGTCGTTTATAATTCAGTGTCGATTCTGACATTAATTTACTGATTTGAGACCATAGATTTTATTAGACCTTTTCTAAGACAAGAGGTTTATTTGTTGAAATCAAATTTTCTGGAGGAAAATTTTAAGAATGTTCCTTAAAATTTTATTGTAATAGCTGTCCTAAAATCTGGGTCTAGTAATGTTCAAGAGATTTATATAGTTACAATTTAAACCTGCACTTAAAACCTTTGCATCTTAACGATTCAATATTGAAAATAAACTTTAATGTTTTTGAATATAAACTGCTTATCAATTCTCATATATGCTGAAAATCATTCTACTTAATGTCATTGATTAGTTTATTTCATGATACTTATGTTAGATTCATAATTAAATAAATACACTTTAAAATGTGTTAAATCTTGTAGCACAGGTCTGACATGCCAGGTATTAGGAGGATAAAAAAAGAGAATTATAAAGTCAGAATGTGTCTCGCCATCAGATTGAGTTCAATGTCCACTTGGAAAATTTGGTGAGGCATCCATCTAAAAGAAGATGAAAGTTGGGGATTTATTCCAGTGGTAGAGGAATACTAATAAGTCATGGTCCTAGACTTAATCCTTAATACTGAAATAAATTGATAAATGTCTAAATGGACATTACATATGTCTATACAGCATTACTTTATTTTTATGTCTGTCACTAATTTCATAGCAAAGTTGCTAGAAGACAGTGACACCAATGTGACAGAAACACATGAACAAACCTCATTAGTCCTGTGACATTTGATACATTATTTAATTAATATCAACCAAAATGGGCACTTTCTGTATGAAACTACTTTGGTTATTTCTCTAGATAACATGCATGTATATGACACACCTGGAATCACATGAGAGGTGCATTTGAAAGTAGATTTATAGAAACATCATTAAGAATTGGTGAAAAAAATGATGACACTATGGTTATCAGCCTTTCATTCTTACTTATTTCAGTTATTCATATTCTTATGAATTATAATTAGATGTAGCTATCACCTGTGAGTTCACTAGGAAAAACTGATAGTGTTGATTAATGCAGTAAGATCAATCGTTCATGCAAGCTTGTGATCCATGAGAAAGCCATCATGGGTTTTAAAGGCACTGTGAAAAGTGAGATGTTCTTTACAGCTCTTGCATCACAAAGGACAATACATGTGTCAAATTGCACAGTCCTACTGAGTTGACCTTATTCTTACTTTTATTAAAATTGTATTCGTGAATAAAGACAGTAATTGGATGCTTGGGATACACAAGGCTGTGGCTTATATGGTCTGTGATTACTGTACCCTCTTCCAAAAGAAAGAGTTTCTAGTGACCTTGTTGTAAACACCATTGCTTTCTCCTCAAGAAAACATAAAATAGTTTATAATATTAAAATAGTATACACAATGTATATGTTTTTAATTTCTTCAAATAAGTATTATCTAATTTTATAGGAATAAGGAATATATATATTGAAAACATTTCTTGTAATCCGTTATTACAGTTACACACACACAATTATTGCCTAGAATATATTGAAAAACCTTATGATTATCATTCATTCATTTTCTCCTGCTATTTCATGGGTGCATTTATTCTTCTACCCAGCACATTTTTCCTCATCAGTGAACAGTAGAACACCGTATCCCATAGCCCAAGCCAGAATGCTATGGAGATCCCACTTTCCTTCTTCCTCTCTGTTTCTGTGTAGTCATCTGGCTCTTGGATTCCTGCTTTCTCGGTTTGCAGCTGTGCACTCACATCTGGGTACGAATCTCTCTCATTGCATTAACAGTAGCCAGTCAGTCTTCAGTTGACTTTTCCCATTCTCCATTCTCTTTGCCTCTTCTGATTCCAGCAATGCTGTCCAAGTGACATTCAAAATGCAAATCTTTCTTCTCACATCTTTAAGAAAAGTTTAACTTCCCTTTCAAGGGATCATCTTCCAAACTTGTCCTGTTTCTCCTTTCAGCCTCTTCAAAGGCATTGCTCTATAGCCTTACCTCTCACCTTTTCCTTCTATTAGAATCATGATGTCATTTGCTTTGGTGTCTTAATTCATTTGGAACACTGAAAATTTCCACTCTTTATGTCTTCCTAGTCAAATGTCCCCTGTTCTCAATTTCCCCACAGTTGCAAAACAATTGTTTGATCATTGCCCTCATATCTTATTCTCATAATTGTTACTTTATCTGTTATTTCCCACACTAGACTATAAGATCTCCCAGGAACTCGTTGACATTAAAATTAGGTGCTCAACTGATATGAATGCATAATCCAAATTCATTATGTGAAAGCTAGTGTGCTGGATGTTGAAGACAAAGAAAAGAAAATCTGAAATATATATATGTAATATATGTATATATATATATATATATATAGTGTGTGTGTGTGTGTGTGTGTGTGTGTGTGTGTGTGTGTGTAACACTGCATGGAAAGGGAATCTCATGGCGGAAACAAGTACAAACATGGTCTCTTGTTGACAACCTCAAACTTGGTTCATAGCCAAGGATGATGTAAGCTTTGATCCTCCTGCCTCCCTCCTCCTTGTTCTGGGACTATACACATGTAATGACCCACCTGGTTATGTGGACAGGACTTCAGGAATTCTAGGCAAGCACTTTATTGACTGAGCTATATATGTAGCCACTACCAGTTTTTGAGAAACATTTCAAATAAAAAAAAATCCAAAATTCAAAGTTTGAAGGAAACTGAAATGAATAATTATAATGCATTAAGGGGCCCTAAGTTGTTATATATATTTTTATTGTATAGATACTTATGCTTTCTTACCCTCAGTAAAACTATAAATATATTCCTACAAAATTTGGAGAAGGGGAATTTTTGACATTTGTTGGAAACTTTAGACATTTGACAGGACAAATATTTGTAGATGATTAAGAAGTCCATCAGAAATTTAGCCTCATTATTAAAAGATGAGGCTGTAGTTTCTTAAAATACTCCATTTTATATTATAAATTGGAATCTTTATATTAAAGAAGGATGTACATGAAGTATCTAACTCAAATGTGAGTGGGCCACTTTTACTGTTGGAACACTGATCATAAAAACTGTCTCTTGGGAGATTTTGTCCAGGTTTTCAATCTTAACTACTTGAGATTCAGAGACAGGAGGATTGCAAGTTTAAATCTTTTCTGGGTCAGCCTGGCCACAAGCTTTTGCTTGTATACACAATGTCCTAGGTTCAAGCTCCAGCACTACAAACAGCAACAAGAATTTATCTCATTATATTTCATTATTTTCATTTCCCCAACTATAACTGAGGCAGTTGTTATAATCTTCACCTACACAATCATGCTCTCATCCCTCAGTTTTCCTAATTGAAGGTAGAAGTATTTCAGGATGAAAAAAATGTCATGTCATTATCTTTGACTGTAACAAAGCCACATGAAATCTGATTAGAAACATATATGTTTTAAAGGGCAAGAAATCTGATTGAAAGCTTTTAAAATTTGCTGTTATTTTAAGATTACTAAGTAATAGGATTGGAATTAAAATTTCCCTGTCATTCCTGTGTTTGCTGTTACTGGACAAGCATTTGAATAAATCGTGCCTTCTGACACTGTTGTTTCCCACCCCACCCCCAGGTTTTAAATGATGCTATTTTGGGACAGGGTGTCACTCTGTAGTTTAGGCTGGCCTCCAACCCAAGGTACTTTTTCTGCCTCAGGCTTGAGAGAGCTGAGATTGCAGATGTGAGCTACCATACCTAGCCAAAGTTTGATTTCTATATTTGAGCATAAATCAAGCAAAGGTGTGGTAGGTTGAGACTGTGAGCAAGAGACAGTGGTGTTTTTAGAAAAATAATCTCAAATGCTGAATAAAGCTTCAGTTGAAAGGCTATTACTTTTTTTTTACATTGTAATCAGGCTGTAATTTATATAGTGATAGTTTTAAAATTATGTCATGTTTTGGTTTTTACTTTAGGAGAATCTAATTTTAGTAAGAACAGTATAGTTTGTAAAGATTTGTGAATCAGATATTTTATTGTTTTAATTCTACTGTAGGAAATGCAATCTAAATTTCATTTTGGCTAAGAGAGGCTTTGATTTCTCATGGGATTTCTTTATAAAAAGTGGAAAAATATAATTTTTTTATAAAACACATTCAACTGACCCATTATTAATTAACATCTAAGCACATCTTTCTTTGAAGTATGTGTTATAATGTTAATAAAGTCTTCCAAATCTCTTTGTAACAGCACTTATCAAGGACCATGATCATTCAGTAACTGTGTTAGATTATGTGCTTCTGACCTTGAGCATTTCATTTTATTCTCCGATTCCTTTTATCTGTCTTCTTTGTAAGAAAAAGCATTGCTCATTCTTACTTTGTTGTACAAACTTAGTGTCTGTTTTGCTGATAATATAAATATTTATATCATCTCAGACTCTTTTTATAGCTCTGTTATACGTTACCAGAGTCATTATTTTTTTTTATTTAACACAAGATATGCAGTCATTCATAATTTATTGAGTATTTGATGAGATGAGAGTTCACATCAGATGCTGAGAGTTATGCCTCAGATCCAGGGAATATCTCTGTTTTGAGTGCAATATCCTTCACTTGGGAAAACACTTTGTTTTCAGATTATTGAATGAAGGTTGTGAGATAACTGGTCGAAGTGGTCAAGAAATTCTTAAAGATTTAAATAAATCCACCCAGAATCAAGGGGCATTGCATTGCAAAAGTTATGGGAAAACTAATGGAATTGTGTCCATTGGGCTACAACAAGCCTTGAGACCCTATAGCTGACAATTTGCAATTCCAGGTGACTGATGCTTAGTTTTAAAAATAATACAAACTTACAAAGAGAAAATTATATAGTCACTATTCTAGAAATCTTTACATATTAGTGAAGAAAAGAAAAATAAAAACAGAGTGACATGTATAAAACATTCTAGAAAACAGGTATTTCCCATGATAGTGTTTAAAGATGTTTTTATTTTTATTTTAGGTATATGAGTGTTTTACCTACATGTATGTCTCTGCATGTGAGTGCCTGGTACTCACAAAGACCTGAAGAGGGCATCAGATACCCTAAACTATAGCTCAGAGAATTATAAACCACAGCGTGGGTGCTGGGGACTAAACCTAGGACCTCTGCAAGAATAACAATTGTTCTTAATCACTGAGCCGTTGTTCCTGCCTCTTCATAATACTTTTTGTTTTCTTATTATGAATTATTGTATGTGACATTTTATATCATCTTTATTGGATATTTATTAGTTATCATAAGAATTTTTAAATTTTAAATAGGAATATTACTATGAAATTACCATTTACATTTGCAACACATCACTGATAAATATAGACTTCATTCACATTGATTATATTAGTGAGAAAAAGAGGAAAGTTTCTTGAGGTTGCAGGAACGCAGAAGTAGGTCTTCTATAGCCTGAATAAATATAGATGTCCTTGAGATTGTCTGCTGTAATAATGAATGAGATGTGTTCCCATGAAGCAACTTTATATGTGCTAAATTATTTATCACCTCTAGTCTTGTTTTATGGTTATCTTTAGTGACACCTGTAAGCATTCTGAAGTTCTCTAAGAGAGACATAAAAAGCAATTCATTTATAAGGGTAGTCAGTCTGGGTGATGCATTCCTGATCAGTTTGAAGATATAGTTAGAGGTCAGTACTGCTTACAGAAAGAAAAAGAAAAGAAATAAAAATATGCATTACTATTTAATGTTCTATTCATTCTATTCATTACTTCCATAATGATTGGTAAATAATTTCATGCCTTTTTCCCTTTAGCTTGTGGAGAAACCCTACAAGAGTCCAGTGGCAACCTTTCCTCCCCAGGATTTCCAAATGGCTACCCTTCTTATACACACTGCATTTGGAGAGTGTCTGTGACGCCAGGAGAAAAGGTAGCTGATACCCTCAGGAGTTCCCCTTCAGTCTCCTCTAAGTAAAGCATTTCACAAGTTTTAAACTATATTTTGCTTATTATTTATTCACTGTAATTGTTCATTATTATTATTATTATTATTATCATTATTATTATTATGAATTTGCTATGCTGAAGATTGAGCTTAGAGCCCCAAAAGTCCTTGGTACACACTTTAGCAATAAGGTGCAGCTATGGCTTCTCTTCAGTTTTGATTTTAAGGTGGGTCTTTGCAAGCTACCCAGGCTGTCTTTAAACTTCCTCTGTAGCACACTCTGGCCTTTAATTTTTAATCCCTCTTCCTCAGCCTGACACACAGCTGGGATTACAACTGGTATTGCATTATCAGGCTTGGTTTTATTTTTGCTTCATTCTTCAAATATTCGGTTAAAATGGAAACGGCTCAGATTTGAAGTTTGGAAAACTTTAATTTAAAATATTTCAAATGCATTAGAATGGTTGATAGTATATGCATCATATAATCAGAGACAATGAAATTGACTTGAAAACTATAAGACAATTAAATTCCTGCATTTTAAAATTTTAAAAATGTGTCAAAGTTAGCATAAACATATATTTTGAATATCATGTCCATCTTTAAATTGTGTAAATATAGTTGTTTTATAAACCTTTTATTATTTTTTTAAACAAAGAAAGCTCAGGTTCAAATGACCTTCATCTGTAAGAACCTCTCAATAATTATTTTTATAGGACAGATAAGGAAAATATCCTATCTACACAGAAGGAAAACATTTATGTCAATATTATTATGGACAGTGAAGAAAGGGAGTCCTATTTCCCCAACATCTGAAATTAGTGGCAAAAAAAATCTCACTTGAGTTACAAAAGCAAATTCAGATGCTGGTGTGTGTGTGCGTGTCTATGCTCGTGTGTCCATATGTACTGTGTGGATGCAACCTGCTAAACATGCATTTGACCCAAAGAATAATTCTATTAATGATTTATTTTAAAATAAGCCTGAATCAAAGAAATCAGAGAAGATACTTCCCAGTTATTATTATAAATTCGATTCTTATTAAGAAACTTTAAAAATTAGTCCTCTTCAGATGGATAAAATTCAAAACTGTAGTTTACTTGCATTTCTTTACAAATATTGTTCTTGAGAAATTATAGCATGCACACTTAAGTCAAAAGAATGAAAATAAATGTGTAAAAAGAAAAAAGAAAACAAATGTTCTTTGTTATATTAGTTTTATCAAATTAAAAATAGCTAAGAAATGAAATTGCTGAGCCTATTGCTTCCTGGATTCTCTGTTAAAAGCAAACTTTATGCCTGTAAGTGTGATAATAATGCCTGTAATTGTCCCAGTAATGTCATAATAATTAATAATTAATATTAACATATATATATATATTCATGTTAATCTTTAGTTTCTATAAATTTTTTGTTTGAATTTGACCCCTTAATTCACATGGAACTACTTGACTATCTCATTAGGATTCGTGTAACACTGCTATCCTTTTGCTCTTCCTAAAGATGCTCAGCAGTTGTAAGGAATGGCACAGATAAGTAGCTGTGCAGGGTCTTGTGATAGTCCCAGGAAAAAAAAAAAGTTACATGAATGCCCTCGCAGGTCATATGCTTATTTGTACTTTATGAATTACATGCCTGTTGCAATGCATTTAAAGATTTTTCAATTTACTTTCTGTGTAGTTTATTTGAATAAGCCCCATTCCATGTTATAAACACCATAGTTTCAACTCTTTTCTTTGTAACTTTTTGGGATAGTTTTGCCAAGTAGCTTTGTCTGGCCTGGCATTCACTGTGTAGCACAGGCTAGCCTTGACATCACAGTAATCCTCTTGACTTTGCCTTTCAAGTGCTGCAGTCCTATGTCAGAATCATCAAACTGACCATAGTTTTTAAAAAGATCTTGTAGAATTTGAAAAGATTTGGATCAATAGTAATAAAACTCATCAAATTATCTCACTTTCCAGTTAACTAGGGCTACTCACATTGCATATGTCCTATTTTTAATGTTCTTCTACCTAAGTTTTTCCTCATGTTAAAGAAAAATTTAAAAGAGGAGGCAATATTTAAGGCAGAACTCTAGAGGTGTTCAAATAAAAAATGTTATTAATATGTAATGAAATTTAGAAACAGTAGATTTGCTAAGCAACTCAAATAGACAGAATGGTACAGTGTTTTCGAGAATGAAACACTGTAGGGTTACAAATATACAGTTTTCTCCAAACTCATGTAAAAATGTAATAGAATTCCAAATAAGTTTTCCAATAGATTTTTTTGTTAGCTAACAAGATCAAGTTTATTTAAGAAGTGATATGTTGGCATAGAAAGGCAACACTGGCCAAAGTATTAATGATGCTGAGTAAATTATATCTGAATCTAGTGGACAAGCATGAAGAAGATTCAGGAATCTGGAGCATGTGCGTGTATTATTGTCAAAAGAGCTTCTTATATCAATGGACTAACAAAAAGGCCAAAGTTATGCCTGATGGCACTGGCAATTTCTGATATAGTCATATTATAAAAAATATTTAAATAAATTTGTAAAAATATTTTTCTGTCAATAATCCTGTAGTAATTTACAAGAATGTGCCCACAGCTGTTTCTCCAGTCAACCAAGAAGAAATAAAACAATGTATAAGATGTTAGAATTTAAATAATATATATCATTCTTATGAAGAAAATAAGACTCTTTTAACTCGAAGAATTGTAAGAGGCATTTTAATTAGAAATATAAAAAATTGTAAAAATTATCTGCATAAGCTTTAAAATAGAAATACATATTAAAATAGACACTTACAGCCCAGAAGCTCAAGAGAATGGTAGTGTTATTCAGACACCAAAGTTGTTCAAAGCCCTCAGTAAAGATAACAGAAGCAGTAGAAACCCATCAGAGTTACAAGTGCAATGATTTGTTCAATACAACATGAAGTCATTGGCTGTCACTCTATGTGGGAGATGCTCTTTGAACCCATGGTGATGTCTTGCACCTCCTCTCTCAAACCTTCACAGATAGAAGAAAACTATGTTATCAACTGATTGACAGGGTTCGCAGTCTAGGAATAAGAAGGTGAAGTAATCTCTATGGGGTATTTGGAAGCTTCTAAAAGATGCAATACCTACATTATTAGCAATAGCAGTCTTGGAATGTTGATTTATGTGTCTTCTGATAGTGAAAACTTGGAAATGAAATAAAGCAAACAAACATGAATTTGAAGAAAACATTTATAATTTAATGAGACAATAAAATTGCCAGTTTAGCATCATATACCTAAATGGTTAAGCTTTTAAATCTCATGTATTGGGGTCAAAATTACAGATGGATGTCTGTCAAACTGTTGGGCATTTTCAATGAGGAGCTAGCCCATCAGTAGATTTCACTTTGTCCTTTTGATTTCCAGCATCACATACACATTATTTGTACATGGGAAAACACTCATTTTAAAATAAGGTCATAATTATGAAAGAATATGAAGACCACAATATTATAGGACTAAACACTTAGAGTAGGGAGGATGGCAAGTTGGATTGTATGTACATTTCCCACAATCAAAATTAAAGACTTTCATCTCATAACTCTGTTCTAAGGATCCAGTGTCTCCAGGTAAAAAGATCTGCATTCAGGCTATGTTGATTCTTGGTGTTTTAAGAGTTAAGAATGCACAGTTCAGAATTTAGCTGTGGTGACCAGGCAGAAGGCAGTATTGATCTGTCTGTCACTTACAATTTATTGACCTTTTAACAAGGGCAAATTGCTTATGTCTCAAAAAGATTTAGAATAGTCCCCTTTTTCTGACTATCCCATTTCAAAGCTGCCATTTGAGTGTTCTCCTTTTGCAAGCTTTTATTTTTAACCATCCATTTGTGCTTTATACATTACAATGATTCACAATCCACCAATTATATTTCCAAAGATAACATGTAAGGTTATCGACTTTTTATACATTCATCTCTGAGTCTATTCGAGGAGATCTATATTGTGATATGTAAAATAAAATTTGCTGTCAATAACTTTGCAATCTTGTAACCCAGTAATACCATTGCCAAATTTTGAAAAATAACTGAGGAAAGGGATTGAAATTCATGGTGGGAGTATAGGAGCAATTAGATCTCATTGGAGGTCTGAAGGTGACTGAGTCAAGGCTAGTTTATAATAAAGACTGGGATGAGGAGAAATTCAAGGGATGGGGAGGGGGTAAGAGGAATCCAGGCAGAGGAATGGATGCTAACACTGGGGAACTTGCTCAGGGCACAAAAGTCACTAATAACCAGTATGTCTTTAGTTAGGAATAAATGTGTTTGAGATCATAAATATGAGTCAGAGAAGGGGCATCAAAGATCTTGAAACTCTGCCGTTCATGAACTGATGGTAGCCAGGCTTTACTGAAACTGAAGTGGCCACAGAGCACAGGAACCACTGGGGAAAAAAAATCAAAAACCAAAGGACACTATATTCTGAAGCTACTCTTCCATCTAGGAAACAAAGAGCAATACTTTTCCATATAGAAGCGTGAGGAGGAGGCAGCATTTTAGCGATTTCACAGTAGGAAGAAGCTGTCAATTAGCTGGACAAAGAAGTGGAGAGGGGGTGAAAGAGAGGTGTGAAAAAAACATAGTTAATATCAGGCAACGTCAAATCAAAAATTCAAAATCCAAATACTATTATACAATTTTAAGAAGAATGGTTTTTAATAACCCAATCCCTAATCCTTTCCCTCATCTGCCATTTAGTTGACCTTTATAGAAAGTATGAATGCCCTGGGGTCACCTAAATTGTATGGCAGAGACTTCAGTGAAGATGCCTATTCTTAGGTTCTTTTACACCTCTCAGGATAATAACTAGGTTTTCTTATGAATTAAAAATTAAAATTTTTTAAGTGTTTCACAGCATAGTTTGCCTATGACAAATGAATTGATGCTTTTCTTTATTTATACTTCTTTTTATTTTATTGAAAATAGATTTTTTTTCTTACATACAATCCCAATCACAGTTTCCCATCCCACCACTCCTTCCAGCTTCCTACCACCTCCCCTCTCCCCTGGATCCACTCTCTCTCCAACTCCCTTTCTAAATGAACAGGCCACCAAGAGACAACAACCAAACGTGACAGAAAACACAGTAAGACAAGGCGAGTTCACTCCATAGTGCTGTCAGAGTTTTTAATAAGAAAATTCAGCTGCAATTGGATCACTTTAACTTTGCAACTGAAACTCCTCATAGACCAGGAACCCTGAGAACTTTCTCTGGCTTTCTTCCTCTGTTCCATGTTTGGAAGAAGCTGTGGTTCATTTCAAATTGATGCTTACTATCATAAGGAGTGAAATAGTTATTGTAATTCAGCATTCTTTGAAAGATGCAATATGTTTACATAAAGTAGTATAATACAAAACAAACCAGTATTTACCAAGTGCTTTGGATTTGTAATTTAACCATGGATTCTTCTAGCAGTTTTAGGCAAAGGCCCAGATTTTACTTCTATAGTCATAGCCCTAAGATTTGATTGGAGAAAACCAATCTTTATTACATTTTCTACTTCTAAAGGATTCTATGTTTCATATTAGTGTCAGGCCGGTTTTGTTCCTCCACGGTGCTTGACGCTTAAACTAGAAGATTAAAAACAAGATAGGAAACTCTTCTGTTCGAAATTATACCCCACCTAGCTCTCTCTCTCTCTCTCTCTCTCTCTCTCTCTCTCTCTCTCTGTGTGTGTGTGTGTGTGTGTGTGTGTGTGTGTTTGTGTGTGTGTGTGTGAGAGAGAGAGAGAGACAGACAGACAGACAGACAGACAGACAGAGAATAAGGGCAGGGCATCCTAAGAGTTCACATAATAACTGTTTGTTAGTGATCCAGGCACATTATTTTCAGTTTGGAGTGAAGGTTGAGGATAAGTGTATTTCTAATTTAGCTGATTTATTTTTCTCATCAAGTAGGAATTTTCACACAATTATAAAATTTCCTCTTAAATTTATGGGAGGCCACACAGGAACCTCAGTTTTCTCCTTTGTGTCTTACTCTAAATCTGCAGTCTCTGCTCTCATCGAGGAGTTTTCACATGATCCTGTTGGATGCTCTCAGGAGAGTATAATTGCAAAATGACATTATCGCTCCTCTCTCATTTTTTTTAGTAGGCACAAATAAAGCATAAATTAAGGTAAAAAAAATCCAGAAACTACTCTCCAACTGTTTCTGAAGAATAGTCTAAAGTTGTGTTGGTGCAGAAATACACCAACTTTGAGAAGTTGGAATAAATAATTCAGAAGTATAGTCTTTTTATAATCAAATATGAAAGATGATTGAGAGAGAAAGAATGATCAGAACTTTGCTCTTGAACATTTGTGGAGATTTTCAAAACATTTTTTCTAAATATTTGGGATAATAAAACTGATTAAAGGAGAAGAAAACTGGAGGAAAGGGGGAAGTGCAAACTGGGAAGATTAAAAACAGAGGAGTGAGTTCATTAAAATCAAGTTATGCCAGAAAATGGGTTATAACTTTGAAATGCATTTACACTGCATAAAAATCTGGGGAGATTTTTATCATTTAATAAGCAATAATGACACAATAAGTTATGTGGACAATGAAAACCAACTTTGAAGTAAAATTTCATTAGCGATCATTGTGATACCTAGACTTAAGTAAGACATATAGGTTTATTTCAAGGGACCTTCATTCTTCACACTGCAAAGTTGTGAGCTCAGTATGGGTTTTATGATAAGTAGTGTTTACTCTTTATTTTTTGTATGTGTGAGAAGTGTATGGGTGTTCCATGTATGTTCACATGTATGTGAAAACAGGTAAGAGCATATGCACGTGTGTACATGTATGTGGAAGTCAAAGGTTAATATTAGGTGTCTTCTTCCATTGTTCTCCAACTTACCAGTTGGATTATCTAGACAGCTTGGTCAAAATGTTCCATATCTGTGCATCCCAGAAATCCTAGGGTGACAGGTGGTCTGCCATGAGTGCCTGGCCTTTAAGTGGGCAGCAGGGGCCCACACTCTAACACTCACTTTCTTGCTGCACCTTCTCTATCGTGTGTGCTATCCCACAGTTCAGTCAGCAAATTCCTTCCTTTCTTTTTTTTTTTCTGTCTTTTTCTCTAAAACAGTGGTTTTTGTTGCCTTTGGATATACAGAAGTAGGATTTTTGGATAATTTCGTATTCAAATTTCAATTTCTTAAAGTCTCCTTGCTTTCCATAATGGTTGTAGCAATCCACATTCCCATCAGCATGCACAGATTTCCTTCTGTCAATTCATACCTATTCTCGTCATCTTCCCATCTTTCTCAAATAGTTATTCTAGTAGGTATGAAGTAGTCCTCACTGTGGTTTCTATTTTAATGTCTTAAATGATTAGTGTTATTGATTATTTGTTAATATTTACTATATTTTAGTAAAGACAGGTAGATTGCTTTTACCACAAAGCACTCTGATCACAGCTTCCTTCCCCAAGCTCTCTGGTGCTACCCACTTCCACACCCACCAAAATTCACACCCTCTCCAGCTCTCTCTCATTACAATACAGCAGACATCTGAAATATTAATAATAATAAAAAAAGAAAAGGGAGGGACATATATTTTCACCAGAGGTGCCAGGCTGTTATGGAATACAGTGCAGGAAAGTTAATCTCTCTCTCTCTCTTTCTCTCTCTCTCTCTCTCTTTCTTTCTATCTCTCTCTCTCCCTCTTTCTCTCTCTTATTCCTCCTTGTCTTCCCACACCTTCTTGTATCCAGCTTTTCCACTATCACTGAAAGTTTCTTTGAATATTGTTACAGACCATAATTTAGAATAAGACATTTCAAATATTCATAATTTATTGCTTTGGCTAATATCCATTTCAGTTTCTAAAGAACAAAATTATTGTAACTCTTTAACTAATTAGATATAGTTAAAGTACAAGAGAGTTGAAATGAGCTTTTGACAATATAAAATGATTTCCAAGTGAATTTGGCATCATAGAAGAACTTGACTCCTGTTAATTGCATTCTACATTTCATATAATGAAGCAAAAATAAATAAGTTAATGACTTGAAAAGTGAAGTCTCTTATAAATCCGTAAGAAAACATCTTTTCAGGAATTGTTCTTGAATTACTTTTATAAAAAGCAGCATCATTCTAATCAAAGAGACGAATAAAGGGTCATGCACAAAGTCACCTGGCTCGGAAGCTTTGCATGTGTATTCTTGCATCTGGAGTACTGAAGTACCATCTGCCTTTAATTACTCTCAGAGGGATAAATATGAGTACTGGGGCAGTACTTAAACATTTCAACACGCACAAAGCTATTTTGTTCTGGGAATATAACACATGGTGTTTATTTTTAACATAATTATAGTTGTCTTGATCGTTGTCTTTGAAATAAATTATTAAAAAGAGACCGTTTGTAGAAAATCTGAAATTATTCATGGTTCAAGTAATTTATCTTAGGAAAAATTCAAAATAAGCTTTTTGAACAAATGTTTCTATTTGTTTCAGGACTGCTCAAATTGACATCGATTTGGTGTTAATTGCTAAAATGCTTCCTATTCCCAATGATTAACATCGAGTTGTGGTTGCTATTATTACGTATTGATATGAATGCAGCTGGGAGATGGTTCTCTTGTTAAAGTACTCACTTGAGTTTGGACCTCTAGACTACACAACTGAATGCCTTATCAGACAAAGCTATCACACATGCAGTCCCAGCAGAGGTGCATTGAGAGACGGGGGCAGATGCTTCTCTCGTCAGTCTAACTGACTTGGCAAAGTTCCAGGCCAATCAGAAGACTTTTCTCCAACAAAAGACAGAAGATGTCCAAAGACTAACACTTGAGGTTGTCCTCTGATTTCTCCACATAGGCTCCACACATGCAACACCCACACACTTACATGCACTCATACATGAGAATGCACACACACATGTGCAAATCATGCATTATTTGTAATAGCGAGGACCTGGAAGCAACCTAGAGGCCCCTCAACCAAAGAATGGATAAAGAAGATGTGGTATATTTACACAATGGAGTACTATTCAGTGGTAGAAAATAGTGATACCTTGAAATTTGCAGGCAAATGGATGGATCTAGAAAAAAAAACATATTGAGTGAGGTAACCCAGACCCAGAGAGATAAGTGCAATATGTACTCACTCATAAGTGGCTTTTAGACATAAAGCAAAGAAAAACCAGCCTACAAATCACAAGCCCAGAGAATCTAGACAACAAAGAGGACCCAAAAGAGACATACATGGATACAAACAGGAGGGGAAAAATGACAAGCTCTCCTGAGTAAATTGCGAGTTTGGGGGTCATGGGAGAGGGGAGAAAGGGAATAGAGCAGAGAAAAATGTATAGAGCAATAAAAACAATAAAAAAATTTTACTATAAAAAGATTTGAATCAGGAAATGTGGTTACAAGATTTTAATGAAATTGACAATGTGCTGTGAATACAGAAAAAAAGAGGGGAGTCTATTTTCATTACCTTGCATCTCCTGGAATCAAGTAAATGTGGAAAAGTCACTTTTACTCTTTTTGTTTTGCAGATTGTCTTAAATTTTACCACAATGGACCTGTACAAGAGTAGTTTGTGCTGGTATGACTACATTGAAGTAAGAGATGGCTACTGGAGGAAGTCGCCTCTCCTTGGTAAGATTGATTCATCACCTCTACTATTATTATGTTTATTATGATTCAACACAGCATTTATTTTTACACTTAAAATTTAAGGATAATAGTTTGATAGATTATATATATCTGGTTACGTTTGCATGTGCGCATATGTATGTATATATGTGTATATGTGTGTGCATCATCTCTTTCCTAAAGCAGCAGAGTGAATCATCAGGTACATGTATGTTAGCTAGCTTACTATGGCAGGCAAATGTGCTCCCACTATAAACATATCAGTCTTGTCTCTTGGAGAATCTTTCTGAAGTTGAGAAGAGGCATCTGTAGTTTGTGTCAGTAACCACAGCTCAGATTGGTGTTCATGAACATCTGCTCCCAGCACTGAATTTCTGCTCAGAGGTGAGAGGTGCTGTTAGCCGTACTACATACAGGTCCACAGCTCCTCAGCCTTCATCTCCTTCCTTTCTTAGACAGTGGTCATTCCTTCACTTTTTGTCATAGATTTTCTTAGTTGAGCTTTAATCCATGACTGCTCAGCATCCAGGATGTTTAATCTAGGATCTTAAAATCTACTGAACGGATACTGTTTTACTTAGAGTAGAAACAGCCCTGGTCACTCTGAGCCATCTGTGCAAATATTTCAAAGCAAGAACCAAAAGGAGCCAAACTGACATGATACTTCAAATCGAGGAAAATATGTTTTCTCCATCTAGCCTCTCAACCTAGATGAAATAATATATTGGATGTATAGTTGGAACCCCAGAAAACCTTTCAGTGACTTCATGTTGGAGAATCCAATCTGAATCTCCATTCTGACAAGGACTTCGCATGATGGCTCCCTCTGTGTTACTGGTTTCATGTAGAGTGGTTCACCAGACCAACTCGGTGTCACTTGGACAACCTGCCAAAATCTCCCCTTGATAGACGTAGCTCTGAATGGACTAGCTCAAACAGACAGCAATGGACTCACCAGAGAAGGATTTAGAACTGTGGAAACTCACGTGGCCAAAATGCATTTGGAGATACTCAAGTTGGAAGAAGCAGTTACCAGATTTGTTGGTAGTTCACACGTATAGGACAGATAACATGACACTGCCCTTTGCCACATCTTTTTAATTTAATAGGCATCTTTGGAAGACACTTCTTTACTGATTGGCTCCCTACTATGAATTTTCTCTATTCAAATTAGGTATTCATTTTTACTTTAAATTTATGGATATGATTATTTTCTGCACCACATAAACATGCATAGTAATGCTGAGGGGTTTTGTTCTCTCTCGTGTGTTTATCCCAGCCTATAATGTATTCGTGTGTATTGTGGCTATATATGTAAATAATGACCAAGAGAGGTAAAACTAGGTAGTCGGGAAGGACAGAATTTGGAATAAAAGACACAGAAGTTCTGAGAAAGTAAAAGATACTAAGCCGGGCGGTGGTGGCGCACGCCTTTAATCCCAGCACTCGGGAGGCAGAGGCAGGCGGATCTCTGTGAGTTCGAGACCAGCCTGGTCTACAAGAGCTAGTGCCAGGACAGGCTCCAAAGCCACAGAGAAACCCTGTCTCAAAAAACCAAAAAAAAAAAAAAAAAAAGAAAAAGATACTAAACAGAGAGAGGTTATCCAGGAAGATCGAGAGTAGTGGGGAGGGGCTATTAGGATGAGACAGAAGGAAAACCTACTAAACACACTTTATTCAAAGTTTCCACAACAATATGTAATAACTGTATGCTAAATTAAAAATAAAAATAATCATCAGAATGGAGAGCAATATATTGTGATTATAGAGTTATAATACATATGGTATGATTGCAGGGTAAAATATATATTGTGTGATTATAAAGTTATAATGTTTGAACATTTGTTTCACACGGAAGCTGAGTTATCAGTTTCAAGAAGTAAACAATGAATCTGTGCAGGGATTATGTAGAAAGGAGGGCTAATTTTGTTATTTTATCAACTTTCTCTTAATAACTCATACATATGCATATAGAATATGATCCACATTCAGAATAAATTTGATGATGCTTTTTCAGTTTTAATACTATGAACTACCATAGGTTTATCTGAAAATATTTAAAATATTTATCTGAAAATTTATTAATGTAGTATACCAGGGGCATCCTACACTCTTTGTTCCGAGACATTATCATTACTTTGACAAGGGGAAAATCTTCTCCTTGTGTCTGGAGAAAATTGTACCCTTGTAGGAGTGATCAAATTAGAAACTGCTTTGAATTCTCAGGACAACTTGGGACTTTTTCTGTTTCCCAGAGAGTCACAGCAATGCCTTAGTGCATCATGTGATCTTTTATGATTTGGGGGATTAACACTTAATTCTTCGTGTGATAAGATACTGGTGTCAATTAATTGAAGATTTTGAACTGGGTCTGAAGAGACTGCTTTATTTATTCAACTATATTAGGTCACAGTTGTGGCTCTAATTGCTAGAAATATAAGTCAAATTCATTTGCATATATGCATATATGCATATATAAATATACATTAAAATATAAATACTATATAAATTGTGGAGCACAAACAGAACATAGTACAAATTCGTATTTAGGAGCTTCTCTTTATCCTTTCCTTTCTTTTAGGTAGATTCTGTGGAGACAAAGTGGCTGGAGTTCTTACGTCTACAGACAGCAGAATGTGGATTGAGTTTCGCAGCAGCAGTAACTGGGTAGGGAAAGGGTTTGCTGCTGTCTACGAAGGCAAGTCACTTTAAATTTAAGAAGTCATTTCTCCTCCCATTCTCAGCAGAAATGTTGTTTGCTTCCGTTTCATTAAAATCAGTAGGGAAAGCTCATTTGCTGTTATGTAATTTTATGAACCAATATGTCAGTGATCACAGGATAATTTGAATAAAAATAACTTCACCAGCTTAAAAGTAAAGAACAATTGTTTTTTTAGCATAAGGGATTCAGCCATGAAACAGGCGAGACAAAGCAAATAGGGATTCTGAAGTCTGTTTCATGATGCCATGAAATGTTAAGAGAAATTAACATTTTACATTGCACCGATTTTTCAAAAAATCTGTTTGACCCTTGTGGTGGTGAAGCACTCTGTTCTACGGAACTGCACAGAGAGTGATTGTGCACAGTTCTGAAACATGCTTTGTCTAAATGGGAGAGTCAGCAAGTGAGGAAGAATTTCTTACACGCTTGTTCTGTATTTCTTGAAGACAATGAGCCTGCATCGTGCTTCCTGGCTGTATAACAGCCTTTCTGGGCATGTTATGTGTGGATGAGCCCTTTCCCAGTGCAGGGTATCAAGTAGTTTCTAAGATGGGAGAGCCCTACTTCCCTTAAAATCTTAAGGCAAAGGGAGCATTTTGTTTCAAAGATTCACCTCCGGGCTGGGGAGGAGAGGTTTATCAGGCAGGACCACCATGCCACACACATGGCACATGCCGGTGTCAGTGGCCCCAGGGGTTCTTCCTAGAGTAAAACTTGTTTGCTAATGAGCTGCTTCACCTGTGTTTGAAAATCCAAGGAAATCACAGGGCCAACTCAGGTAACACCAACATGTTTACAGTCAGCCTACAAGTAAAAACAAAGACAACTGATTTTAGTTCTGAGGGAGACATCACAGCAATGGAAAATTCTGGACTCCTTGTCTGGTCATCCTTTATGTGTAGTCAAGTGACTGTGTTTATCCCATGATCTTTACGACACTACAGCTGTCCAGCTTTGATTTTTCTTTTGAAGATGGTCTTTGTGTTCTTATAGGAACTAACCTCAAATGCTGTGCTTGAGGAAAAATAGAACGACATGGCATGCTGGGGTTTATTTGATTGCTTGTTTTTCCTTTCTCCAGCTATCTGTGGAGGTGAGATACGGAAAAATGAAGGGCAGATTCAGTCACCCAATTACCCAGACGACTATCGGCCAATGAAAGAGTGTGTGTGGAAAATAGTCGTGTCCGAGGGCTACCATGTTGGACTGACCTTTCAGGCCTTTGAGGTAAGAAGTCTTTTAGGGAAACTTCATAGGGCATGCGCTCTATAAATGACAGCGGCATTTACGAGACTTCTCATTAAGTCAGTGGAGAAGGAGCAAATCAGCCTTTTAATCAGCGAAGAAGCAGAGGGTAGCCTATAAAAAGGTAACACCAAGCAGAAAAGGTTATTTTTTTTTCTTTTTGCTTGTTACAGACATTTGTAAGAAGATTAAAGTGAGTTTACATTAACTGTGCTATTTGAAATAGAATGTTTGAAGTGTTGACAATAGGTTTTGAAGCCTTTCCATTTTTCCAGCAAATGCATGTGCTTCTATTGTAGACTTCTTGGAGGGTCCATTAAATCTGAGAACCTTTGTTTGCTAGAGGTTTCTTTTAAGGTTATAAGGGAGAAAATGTCTTTTGCTTTTATATGATTACAAAAATTAATTATATCAAACATACAATTCTAAACATTCTTAGAAGCTTTTAACTTCAACAAAAACTACTTGTCAATGCTTTTGGGAGATAGCTCAGTGGATCAAACACCTGCCTGAGGACCCCCAGAACCCACATAAAAAGCCACCTGTGCTCCCAGCACTCTTGGAGGAGAGAAAGGGTATATACAGGAAAACTGACTCACTAGATCATCCAAACTCCCTACACTCTGGCTGAAGCCAGAGATTCTGACTCAGTGAATAAACTGGGGGCGCGGAACATTAGAAAGGACACTGACCTAAACTTCTGGAGTCTACATGTAAACACACCCCAACACATATAATTGCCCATCCACATGTGAAGACACATGCAGAGAAATATACACCATACACACACACACACACACACACACACACACACACACACACACATACATGCAATAAAATAGAGTACACCAAAAAGCAATCAGAATTATGAACCAAAATCTGATCTGACCATGAAACTAATCAAGATGGCTAATTCTTCCCTTCCTCCTTCCCTCCCTCCCTTCCTTCGTTTCTCCTTTTTCTCCCTCTCTTTCTCCCTCCCTCTCTCCCTCCTTCCCTTCCTTCCTTTCTCCTTTTTCTCCCTCTCTCCCTCCTTCCCTCTCTACCTTCCTTCATCTCCTTCTGTTCTCCCTCTCTCCCCATCCTCCTTCCCTTCCTCCTTCTCTCCCTCCCTCTCTCCCTTTCTTCCTCCTCTCTACCTTTCTCCCTCTGTTCTTCTCCCCTCCCTCCCTTCTGCCCTCTCTCTCTCCCTCTTTTCTTCTCTCTCCCTCCCTCCCTTCCTCCCTTCTTTCCTTCTTCTCTCCCTTCCTCCCTCCTCTCCTTCATTCCTTCCTCTGTAGTACAATAAGAACTAAGAAAGGAAACAATTAGAAGTGAAGATGAGGGGAATAGTTTTAAAGACTGCATAGCATGCTTCAGTAGTCAAAGAATCTAGAAAGTGAGAGTTTAAAGTGATATGGGACAAACTGATGAGATCTGTGGGGGTGGTGGGTCCTTATAAGAGTTGGAAATCCAGATGCCACAACTGAGGAGTACTTTCCTGCTGACCAGAAGAATCCTGACCCAATATCCAAGCCATCTGAAGGCTGTAGAGGTTCCCATGCTATCACTGGTGAAACATACTTCACACTTTGACCCATCGAGACAGCACCAGAGACATCTAGAAGTCATCTATGCAGTTAGAGCATCTCCCAGCTCACACACAGGCCTGTGCAATCTGTCTTTGATCCTGTATCTTCCAGCTTGCACTTGCTACTTACTTTATTTTTCACATTTAAATATGTGTGAAACTTCTTAAGTGACTAAACTAGGACTGCCTTGCCTGCTTCAATTACATACTAAACACAATCCTTTTTCTCATTCATTTCAGTACTTGTTGGTGGAGACTGTTCATTTGTTTCCCAGCCGCCCAGGCCCCGAATAATCACACAGAACCTGTATTATTACAGCACTGTTTGACATTTTAGCTCATGCTTCCTATTGGCATATTTAAATATGTGCAGCACAAAAATGGAGGTGGAAACATTAGAAATAAGGCCAAATGAGGAAAAAACACTAGAGGTAGTAATAAAAGGTTATATCTGCCAAGCCTAATCCCAAAAGCACAGTGGTCTTGAATCATTCCTCCAATCAACAATGATTAAATGTCAGCTAGGAACTAATGAGCAGCCTCCAACTACAAGTACTTGATATCAACATTCTTCCAAATAGTGCCCGCAACTCTACTCCTTCACTTAAACAATACTGCATCATGGTTTATACCGGATGTCTAGCCGCTTCTCTGCTCCTTTGCTGGGAACTCGTGGTAAGGCCCTAAGACCTTAACTCTATTCTGTGTATTATAAGTTTGTAACATCACTTACAATCATCTAAAGGGTTTTGAGTTTAAAATAAAATCCAAATTCAATTGCTGTGATTCAACCCACTCCACTTCTCACCCCTTCACTGCCAATCTTAGGATTTTCCTTGTCTTCCTATGCAACTTTTTTCCATATGGCAGATTTTGCTTTCAGTGGTCTGATTCTAGGTCTTTCAACATTCCTCATGATCCTCTCTCACTTCATCTACATCTCTGTTTATTTCTTTAAAATATATATGCCTTATAGCTCATTCTAAACCTTTCTATCACTCACAGTTCATGCTAAACTATTACACAGTTTTGTTCATTGCAATTATTACTGCTTGTATTTAAGCTAAGAATCTGTATTTATAGCTTTGTTTCTTGTTTCACACGAAAATATGAACAGAGAATTTGCCTGTGCTATTCTGTGTGGCTATAGATGTGAGAGTGCCCCGTGTTTGAGGGTTTAAAGTGATAGATCACTGACACTTTTCTTAAGTATGTGAGTTTCAGTGCAGATTCACTAAGAATAAATAGGTAAGTTAAATTTAGACTATGGAGACTTGGTGTGCTTTCTGTCTGAAGTCAGAGAAGACAAACTGAGTTCTAAGTAATTCAGAAAGGCCAGAGACCAGGTGTCCCACCAAACCCCAAGTCTCCTAGGGGAGGAGCCCAAGTCTTGGTCATTCACTGAGTTGTATACTGATTAAAATGAAATCAGCATTGGTATCCACAAACGGTTGGATGGGTTTGCTTGCTAGTTTTCCTACTCGCTAAAAATTTTTGAAGCCTCAAATCAATATTTTATTAAGATCATTTACAGGCACACACTCAGCACCTAACAGGCACTTTACAAGCTGTGATGTGCCTTATGAAGAGATGTGTGTTTGATAAGCCTTATGCAGGCATGAGTCATAGCGCTGTTGGCTGTGAGTTCAGTGTTAATGAACTGACAATATAAATTAAAGTATCCAGAAATAGAAATACACTTAAAACAAGGTTGTGCAGTAATTTGTTAATAAAACGTTTTGTAACTGGAATCTCACAGAAACACAAAACCATGTTTGCCAAGGAGCAATGAATCTACACTTGTTAATTCACATGTTCTCAACAACTTTATAGAACGTAAGTAATTACAATATTGTGAGTATAAAAAGATCAACAGAACATGTTTCCTCGGTTGCTCTAGAAAGCATTTAGTTAAATTTATTTAATTATTTTATGGGAATTTATTTTTGTTTAAAAATGTATTTCTATGGGGCTGGAGTTTAGATATGGGTTTGGTTTCTATATCGACATGGCAGATCATAGCTTTCTATAACTCCAGATTTCTGACCTCCACAGGGATGAGGCGTGTATGTGGTACATATGTGCTAGCAAAACATCATGCTGATCAAATAAAATAAATAGATTTAAAAAGGAAATTCTTAAATACCATGTTTCCAATAAAAAGACTGTCTATATTATTTTCAATTTTTATTCATTTTAGTTTTTGAGGACTTTATGCACAATTACTATATTTATATCACTCCTAATTTTATTTCCCCCAGCTACTCCAATATTTTGTCCTTTACTCTCCCTAGTTCATGATTTTTTACATAATTATTATTATTGCACACACACATGCACACACACATTTATATACACATGTAACATGCATACACAATCTACCAGGGGTATTTAGCACTGATTTTATGCATGTGTGTGTTTACAGGGGTAAGTATTTGAGACTGGGCAGCCTATGTGGGAACTTATCCCTTGAGCAAACTGATTCTCCCTCTCTCAGCAGACATTGACCACCTTAGTCTTCCTTCAGGGTTGGGATGATATGGAATGTCTCCTCTCCATATTGGCGTATCAACTGGTGTTGTCATTTTGCTGGTCTTGTTCTGGCAATCAAAGCACTGTGATTTCACAGGTGCCTTTTTTCCATTAACGCCTATGTTTCATTAATGTTGATAGATAGTATCCATTATCTAACAACAGCCATCATGGAATTCAGGTACTTAGTATCTTTCTTCTTCTTCTTCTTCTTCTTCTTCTTCTTCTTCTTCTTCTTCTTCTTTTTCTTCTTTCCCCTCCCCCTCCTCCTCCTCCTCCTCGTGCTCCTCCTCCTCCGCCAACATTCTCCTAGTCTTAGGGGTTGCGTTGCTAAAGTAACAGTCAGAGTTGGTCACCCATAGCCATTTGTTCTCTGCATTTTGACCAGTTGTAGATTTCTGTAATGGTCTCTGTGGCAAAAAGAAACTTGATGAGGGCTAAGATTTACCCTTACCTATGGGTATTAAGATAAATATTTGGAATATAGTTAGAAATTGTATTGGTTTAAGAAAAAAAGACAATAGTCAGTTTTCTGCTCAAGACCATGACCTCTCCAGTCCCAGGTAGTTGGCTAGCTTTATAGTTTCAGGAGCGCTACCCCTCTTATTGCGTGGACCTTAAATACAATATGATGTCTTTTGGTTACCCTGAGTTAAGTGTGTCGCTCTTGTACCATTGAAAATATTTTTCTGACCTGATTATAATTGTTATTTTTAGATTTACAGATAAATAGGACTAGTGATGATTCCTCTCTCTTGGTAGCTTGCATAACACATTCTGATGTTATGAAAGGCAGTCCTCTCAGAGTAGCCTCCAAGTCAGCCTCAGTTTAATTCCTTCAAGTACTGAGTGTGGGTGGTCTTCAGCAATCTGGTCCAAC